TAGCCTCAGCCAACTCACCAAGCTTCACTAGTGACTTCACCACATTCTCGTAATCACTGCTCATCAAATTGTAGTTTCCTCTATTCTTCTTCTTCTTCTGTAACGCCATCCTTGCCTTTTCAAGAGCATCGGTGGCCTTATCTACAAGGAATTCTCTTTCATAGAACTCAGCTACCACGGCATACGTACACCAGTCCATGACAATGTGGGGCTGACTCTCCATTTCTCTCAGCATTCTCTCCATCCCATCCATATCGTGCTTTAACCCAAATGAACTAATGCAGATCCTGTAACTATCATTATCAGGCAAAACCTTGGTCTTCTTCAGATCCGCCAACACCCCAAGGACCTTTTCCATTTTGAGACTCTTGGCATAAAGGTGCATGATCTCATTGAAAGGGCGGGGCGACGACACAAAACCCAACTCTTTCATCTTCTCAAAATGGAACAAGGCCTTCTCTGTTCTGTCTTTATGCACGTAGCAATGCAGAAGTTCACCATACGTCCTCTCGTTTTTAGCTTGTTCTGGCAAGTTCCTGACATAGTGCTCTGCAGCAGAACATCCTCGAACCTTATAAATCAAGTTCACATGGACCGCATGGTCCATAGATGAGAATTTATAATTACCTTTCTTCCACATCCATTCAAAAGCCTGCCACGAAAGATATGTGCTATCGGAATATAATGTATCTCAAATCCTTCCAGAAACTATACAACAACAACAACAACAACAACCAAGACTTATCCCACTTGGTGGGGTTGGCTACATGGATAAAACAACGCCATTGCGACTTATCATGTATCATATCACCACCAAGAGCATGCACGCGTAGGTCACCTTGACCCCTTCGCGTTTATGATCTGCAAATATGATAAATGATAAGGCACAACGGCATCGTTTGATCCATATAGCCGACCCTACCTATTGGGATAACGTTTGGATGTTGTGGTATAGTATTTACTTGTTAATATCTCTCATAACTGTACCAATAATTTAGATTGATCAACACTTAACTGACAAAATATTCAAGCCTGAATATTAAAGTTAACAATTTAACATCCATATAGCCGACCCTACCCATTGTTTTTTTTTACAAAAAACTCTTCACAGTGTTGCGTTAAAAAAATGATCAAAGTGTTACCGAGTACCCTCTCTCCATTTTTTTACTTGCCTCGTTTATTATGCATAGAGTTAGGATATATTCTTTTTCTAAATATTTATATTTATTTCATAAAATACTTTATACTCCGTAATATACATATATCACTTATTATTTTATGCTCCACAGAAAATTTGATGTTAGCTACTTTTTAAATTGAGAAAGTGCACCGTTTATCTCCAAATTCTTAAAAAATTGCACGGTTTACCCATCAATATTAAAAAGTGTAATCGATCCCTGTATTCTTCAAAAATTGTACATTTTACCCCTGAAGATTTAAAAGTGCACCAAATACCTCAGAACTCTTTAAATAAAGACGACAATTTTGGGTAAGGGTATTTTAAAAAATTCACAATGGCTAGATGAATCATACTAGCAATTCCCATGTGTGGGAGCAACGCACTCCCTATCTAGCATTTTAGGACCAACGTTGCAACGTTTTAAATTGTTCAAGAGTTTTTGGTGCACTTTTCTTAATGGTCAGGATAAACCATGCAATTTTTCAAAAAGTTCGGGGATAAACTGTGTCTTTTCTCTTTTTTAATTTGCATCAGATTTCGAACTAGTAATTTTTTTGGTTTGAAAGGACATAATTCGAACTAGTAATAAGAAATAATTCGAACTAGTAATTTACTGTAAAATAACTCTAACGAAATATGGTAAAAACCGAATGAAATATGTTCTCTTGAGGAGGCTACTCGATTGTTTACTCTTATATTCATAGTTATATCACTTATAGGAAGATGATGTAACAGGGAGTTCTTAAACTTCTTGTACATGTTTTTCGAGATGGTATTGAAAGTTAGGTTTTCTGTGCAAAAAAAAAAACAAATAAATAAACATTTTCATTAAAATATTTAGTTAAAAATGTTCTCTTAATATATTTATTATCTATTTTTACATTTATCATTAAAGAAATGTTTAATATAAGTTTTTTAGTATAACTAATTTAAATTAAAATAAAGGTCACTTTGCTTTTGGGAAAAAGATTCTGGAAAATTACGATCTAATTTCCATGTTTGGTAACATTAGTGGTATGGAAAGGAAACATTTTCTCCCATCAATGGGAAAATAGTTTTCGTTTGCTTTCGAAAAGGCTAAACTCCACTATTAGTTCTTCAACTTTATTAGTTATGCACGATTGGTTCTTCAAGTTTCAAAAATTCATAAATAGTCTTTCAACTTTATGAGTTATGCACGATTGATCCTTCAAGTTTCAAAAGTCCATATGTAGTCTTTCAAGTACACATAAGCCCTTCAGATGAAGTCCTTTAAACAATAAACGTTAAAAGCTAAATGAAATACTAGCTTCATATAACACAGAGTAGTTGTACCTAGTGCAACTTTCTCGTATTATATGAAAGTAATACTTCATTTAGCTTTTAACGTTTAATGTCAATAGAAGTTCATATGGAGGGATGACGTGTATCTAAAGGACTACTAATGAACTTTTGAAACTTGAAGAACCAATCATGCACGACTCATAAAGTTGAAGGACTATTTACGGGCTTTTGAAAGTTGAAGGACCAATTGTGCACAACTCATAAAGTTGAAGGACCAATGGTGAATTTTAGCCCTTTCGAAAAAGAATTCACAGTCTAATCAAACGTGCAATGAAATAAGGCAGAAGGAACATACCTTTAGAGCTACAGAGAATCGCCCATCCTTACGAAGTTTGGTAAGGATCCTCTTGAGCTCACCCGCCGAAACCTCATTATCATGAACTACAACCCATTCGTCTAGCAGAGACCCGACGTCAAACCTTTCCTCATCAAGGTGATATGGAATAAACTGCCACGACAACTTTTCCTCCTTTCATTATACGAGAAAGTAAAATATGAGTAACAATTTTAATTTGTGGCAACATGAATAAAAAAACTCGTAAGCTCCATCTGATACACAAAATTGAAATTGAATTAGAATTTAAATTCTAGGAAATTGAAATGATGTAATGGTATGTTTGGGAACATGGATTTGGATTTTAAATTCGGATTTGGTTCAAATTTCATGTTTGAGAAACTTTAAAATTTTAAATTTAGAATTGAGTAAAATTCTTCTCATTCATAACAAAGCTTAATTTGAAATCCATGCACCTCCCCTTTATATATAGGGATTGGCTCCAGTGAGATGACACTTTACGGTGAGATGACAAAGCTCACCAGAAGACGATCCGCAATGGACAATGCAAAGCTCACCTAGGAATAAAGCAAAGCTCACCACTTTAAACCCCAAAACTCACCTTTTTTTAAAATTTTAAAAATTAAAAAATTAATTAAAAATAAAATAACAACACCGGTCAACCACCGGTCAATGGGGGCAGAGCAGCAGCGGCGGTCAGATACCGACGACGACGACTGGCGACGACCAGCGGCCGGAGTCCGGCGGTGACTGCCGGAGACCGGCAGTGGCGGTGGCTGCCGGTGACTGGCGGCGGCGGCGGTCAATGCTGGCGGTCAAAAGTCAAAGTCCAGTCAACATCCCTTCCTTTGATTTTATTTTTTGAAAAAAAATCAAAGTGTTGAAAAAATATGGTGAGCATTGTAGTTGTCTTTGGTGAGCTTTGCAGTGGCCAGTAGTGAGTTTTGTGTCATCTGACTAAAGCATGCCATATCACCGTAAGGTGTCATCTCAAGAATATATATATATATATATATATATATATATATATATATATATATATATATATATATATATATATATATATAGGGGCCGGTTCCTGTGAGAATGCACCTTGTGGAGAGAAATGAAAATAAAATCTAGCCGTTGGATCTGATGCATCGTGCGGCTCAGATTGCATCCTGCGCTCAGATTTTCAGACAGTGCATTTTCGAAGGATTTTGATGCATTTTGACGTGATGCATTTTTAAACCATTTTGGTGCATCTAAATTTGATGCAATCCCAACCCTTAGATCTCACAATCTAAAGCACCAGATTCATTCTCATTTCTCTCCTAAGATCGCATTTTCACCAGAACCAAAATCTATATATATATATATATATATATATATATATATATATATTCACCTTTTAACGATGCAAACTATGTAAAATCAAGATTTTTTATGAGAAAAAATGTCTAAACATATTGAAAAGTAAACTTGCCTAAAAAAACAACCTCCGTCTCAGAATATTTGTCCACTTTCATTTTTACACACCATCCAATACACTTCTTTTATCCATTTTATCTTGTAATTTGTATATTAAAAAATTATAGAATTTATATATTAATAACCTATATGTTAAGACAAATCAAACAAAATACACATGACTATATTTAGGTTTACACATTGAGAGAATTTGATGAGTCAAAGTACTTAGATGAACAGTTCCAAAAGTCAAAAGTGGACAAATACTCTGGGACGGAGGGAGTATAGAAAAGTAAAGTAATTCTTTCCAAAGTGTGATCCCCAGCGGAGGCGGACAGTATAAGTAAAGAAGCCCCATTTGTCAAGAAGAAAAATTGAACGGGTACCCAATTGAGCGAGCCCTCAATTACGTTGACATGGTCATGAGAACAACGAGAAATGAGAAGTCTCAACGAGAACACCACCACGCCCCCCCCCCCCTAAGGCGGGATGCGGGAGGGAGGTGAAGGTGATGTCGTTCTTCCCCCTTAGGCAAGATGTGAAAGGAAAAGGGTGGTTCTGTGGCCGCATTTGACACTACAGTGCCACTAAAGTTTTGGGATATCTATGGTTTTAATTGATGTTTCTTAGCCTCCTATCCACATATAAACCCCCACCCAAAATTGAGGTGGCAGAAGGGGGATGGCATGAACATCCCCCAACCTTTAGGGTCAGGAACTACCCTCAGCCGAACGAATGGAACCGGGTTCCAATGTCAATTCCAATATTAAGAAAAAAAGGAACTAAACCATAAAGCTGCAGCATGGAGAATGAGAGTATATCTGTAATAGGGCAGAGGCTACCTGGTCAGATTCATAGATCTGCCGCTTCGGTGTAGGCTTGGTGTTATTGCTTTGATAATCAGCTGGAAGAATAGTCTGCACACCCATCGATTCCATTGGCAGGATAAGTAAAAATCAAGAAGTATTTTATGAGAAAAATGTCTTCAAAAAAAAGCAAGTTTAACAGCTTATTTAGGAGAAAAAATAAGTTCGGCTAGAATTTTATGTAGGAGAAAAATATCATTGTCCATTATTACTCCGGAGTACTAATAGCATCTCTAAAGTTGTTGCTAAATGCTAAAAAACAAGTTTAACAACTTATTATTGGTAACTATAGCAAAGTGGTTATTTTAACCAACCACTTGTTATACATAACCAGTCTTTGGATGGGTAAAAATACAACAACAACAACAACCCAGTTAAATCCCACAAGAGTAGGGTCTGGGGAGGGTGTGTGTACGCAGACCTTGCCCCTACTCGAAAGTAGAGAGGCTGTTTCCAAAGAGACCCCCGGCTCAACGTCGAAAGCTGCATTGCTTGACTAACTGCTACTTCATTAATTAAAGAAGCGCTAGTTTAGATATCCATTTTGATTTATTCCATCACACCCCAAAGCCAAAAACAGGTTAGATATAAAAACTACACATGTCATGGTTGGAGAGATAGCTATAGTATACATGTCATGGTTGGAGAGATAGCTATAGTATACATGTCATGGTGGGAGAGATTGCTAAAGAAAATATTTGTAACACACTATTTGATTGCTAAAATAACATTTCAGCAGCCCATTTTAACAACCTCATTGGAGATGTTCTAAGAAAGTACAACAACAACCTAGATCACACCAAAATAGCATTTGAAAATGCCCTAAAAAAGTAGAAATTCAATAAGGGTGTGTGATAGGTCGGTGGGGAATATTTTCCTAGAAGAATATATTTCCCAAATAAAAATACTTTTCCAAGAAAATTATTTTCCAATCATATTTTACCTTGTTTTGCAGGAAGGAAAAAATTTTCTTAAAAAATTAGCTTTGATTATTGTCAAGGAAGTGAAGGAACCCTTTCAACCAAAACCTCAAGCTTGTGGTTGTGGCTCAGGAATGATTGTTATATACTTTAACACGCCCCCTCACGTGCAGGCGTGATCTCTTTGAGCCGTGAAACCTTAATTTTTTTTAAACTGGGCGGCGGTGAGTTTCGAACTCATGACCTCTTGGTCATCAAGGTTCCGATATCATGTCAAGGAACCCATTCAACCAAAAGCTCAAGCTTGTGGTTGTGTCTTAGGAATGATTGTTATATACTCTAACAATTATTAATATTTATAAAGGGCACCGTTCCATTGACACTGGCCAACGGTGCCATTAGAGGTGCCGCTGTTCTTTTGGAGCACCTCCAATACTTCAATCTAAATTGATGATTTATACCCCTAACCCACTCCTAAACCCCCTCCCTACCCTCCGCAGCCTTGCCTTAAGCCCCCTCGAAATGTTTCCTCCACAAGTGTGGCTGCACATTAGGAGGGGGCTTAGAATAGTGGTAATGGGCATGGCGCCCAGCAGCGTTAAGCCAAGTTAGACGCATAGGGGGCGTTAAAAACCGCCCCCTCCCATGTTATTGCCCCGTTAAAGTTGCTGCGTCAAATTTTGACGCGGCTTGAAGGCGTTGGAAGTTGGAACCCCCCCCCCTCCTCCATAACGGCTATAATGTTGTTACAAATAAAAAAAATCTTTTTGTCTCTTTCTTCATCTTTCCTACTCTATAAATTGAATCAATTTTTTAAAATTCAACACAAATACAAATCTCTATCTATCATCTTTCTTTAAAAATTTATTATTCAAGTATTTTATTTATTTTNAATGTAATTTTTTTATTTAATGAATGTAATTTTTTTATTTAATGAATGTAATTTTTTTATTTAATAAATGTAATTTTTTTATTTAATGAATGTAACTTTTCAAATGAATGTAATTTTTTAATGAACTACTCTTGTTTCAATTCTTTTAAAAAAATTAAATAATTAATTCTGTTAATTTAATTTTAGAAGATGTGTATTTTAAAATGTAAAAACTGAAGGTTTGAAGCCCTAATTTGAAGCCTCGCATTTCTGCTGAAACTATGAAGTAGCTTAAAGCTGAAGGTTTGAAGCCTAGGGTGCTCTTAGTGCAGAGGTGTGGAGGGGCTAGGGTGGGATTTAGGGGTGGGTTGGGGTAAGATCCATCAATTTTAGGTATTCCAACTATACAACAACACTACTAATGGCACAGTTGGCAAGTGTCAAAGGAACTCCACTCAATTATAAATTAACATTGAAAAAGATGCTTTGAATATGTGATGGGGGAGAAGGTACCTCGTCAGCTTCATAGATCCGCCGCCCCTCTGGTGTAGGCTTGAAATTGAGGATTGGATAGGATATGTTTGTATGGCAATGGCGATTCCATCCCCAAAGCGCTGCCCTGTTCCACTGGAAACGCAGCCCTACCCCCAATCGCTTCAGTCCAACGTAACCCATTGTAATCATCAAATTGGGTCGCCCGGCTATATTTCGCAACTTATCTTGCGATGGGGAAAGCAGTCTTTTTTCCTAACCGCTGTAATTGTGATAAATATATGTGTGCTATATATATATATATATATATATATATATATATATATATATATATATATATATATATAGTGGTGGAGCCAAGGAAGATTTCATGGGGGGCAAAAATTCATTTAATAACTAAACAAAATTCATAATAGTAACTACCTTAATTGACAAAATGCAACTAAACGTACCTTCTATTTGTGCAAAAGAGCAAAAGTTTTTTGAGGCCGTAGAAAATTTTTTCGATATGCCAACTTTTGATCAAGTGTGTAACAAAATACAATAACCCTAAAGCAACAAAGTAACAATAATAAAGTATGAAAATTTCCTGATTCAATAATAAAGTAACAAAATAAAAAATCAATAACCCTAAAGCAACAATTTCATATATCTTAATCTCTAGAAGTTGAAATTACATTAATATTTATCAAACATTTAAATATCAACAAATACACTGGAACTACTGTCCACGGAACAAAATAAATATTTAAAATTCAAAACATAATTTAACAATATTCAGAATTTCAAATATTAAGAAAAAATCTCGAAATTAGATAATTAAAATTTACATATACCTAGACAATGAGAGAAGATCTGAAAATTAGCTGAAGAAGCTCAGAAGAAGAGCTCAAAATGGAAGAAATTGATCCTGTGAAGAACTGAAGAAGAGCTCCGATGAAGAAGAGAAGTTTCGATCGTGACCTTCTGGTTTCGTACTTTCTTCGTTTGGATCAGGGCTCTGTGGCAGCCGAATAAATCAATGGAATTAAAGTATTCCGTAATTTTTTTAGCAATTGGGCTTTGTTGAGTGTTGGGCTAGGTCAAAGCCCAAAGGAGTTTTTTTAAACCCTTCAAGAAACGACGTCGTACGGTTTATATGCGAAAATGCTACTATTGCTTGATTGATTCGTCTTGGCTGCCGAACCCGAGATGACTGGGAGTGGAAGCCGGGACAAATGGGGGGGGGCAAATCCGGCCTCCCATCGCTGGCGATAGGTACCCTAATCTTATTTTGCCGGAATTTCACCGGGGCACTTGCCCCCCTTCCTCCGCCCCTGTCTCTCTCTCTCACTCCAACTCTTTGACCATCTATAGATATTAGGTGCCGACTCAGTCAAAATGAAAATGATAATTCTCTCTCGTTCATCCACTCTTCTACCATCCTTAAATATTAGGTGCCGACTCAATCAAAATAGTTTGGAGACATAAATATTCCTTTTTTCACTTAATTAAGAGACTTCGTTTATTTCTTGTTTTGAAGATCAACTAATCAAATGATATTTTTGTTCCAACTTTTTCTGTTTTTTCCCTCTGAATCGATTTTTTTTGTGTCATAAATACTGAAGTTCTACTCATAGCTTATTCATAATCAAAGTCAAATCCTAGATGTATAAATAAAAGCATCTTACGAAAATTTACCCGATGTAGATTTGGGAGGGTGGGTTTGCTCTGGTCTCTGTTTGGGGTTATGCTACACTTACACCACAAATTGTACCCCATTTGTACACAGCAGTATACACAAATATTTTGATGGTTTACACCGACATAAGTGTTGGTACGTTAACAAAAATTTACACGGGCATAAAGTGTTGGTGCAATAACAAAAATTAGTTTTACACAAACACAAATTGTTGGTGCAAAACTACGGAGTACAAAGTGGTACAAAACATGTGGTACAAATAGCTTTATCCTTCTGTTTGAGGATAAATACTTGTTATACGGTTAAATGAAGTTACATTTTTAATGTTTCATACAATTAAATATCAATTACTATTCTAATATTATTAACAGTTAATATAATAATAATAATACATATGATTAAATATTACTTACTTTCTATGTCACAGAGTTTTTGTCTAGTTTAAACTTTTTGTAGTCATTTGAAATAATACTTGCATTATTGTTACTCATTCTGTCCCCAATTTGATTACAATTTTTTTCTCTCATCTCGATAACTTTTTTTATTTATGCGATTTCAATAACTATTTGATAAAATAAAATATTTTTGCCACCTCTTACTTTGCAGAACTTTTTACGTAGTTTTTTAATATGTAATTTTTAATATGAAGAAAAGAACTCTACAAAGGAAAGATGTGAAGAAGATTGAGGATTGGAGATTGAAGAAAGGAAAGATGTGAAGAACATTGAGAATTGGGATTTGATATTTAAAAAAAATTAGAGATTCTTTTGGGGGGTGTAACGGCTAAAATAGCCGTTGGGGGGATCAACGCCACTGTGCGTTAAACGTTTGATTCAAGGCAATGACGCCCGGATGAATCCCGAAGGGGGGCGGTGTTTAACGCCGAGGAGGCGTTAAACGCCCCATGGCACCCCCCAGCGTCAAGAACATTTCCATTGCTCTAAAGCATTTTACTTTCAAAAAAAATAAAATAAATAAAGCATTTTCAAAAAATAAAAAAGATATTTAATCTATATAACACACTTTCTATCGAGGGCTAGAGAGTCTAGATCGACTCAGAAATCAAACTACTCACAGAGTGAAGATTTGCGAGGGACTGAGTCCCCAATGACCCCTTCCAGCGATAGTAAGAGAGGAGCGTGGCAGAGTTGTCGCATCCTAAGGTACTTGTGATGTAATTGATTGAAAGAAGCGCATTGCTTCCCAAAATCATGACATCTAGTCGACCACAATTCCGTGCGAGTTGCGACAACACACGTCGTCTGCAATTCCGAACGAGAATGCCAAGTCGTCCACCAAAGGACGCCTAGGCAAGGAAGGCATAATTAGGCGAGTCGATCCTCCATAGTGAGAAGAGCAATGCATCAGAACACCTAGGCGACATCGTGACCACTATGATTAAAAATCATTCCATCTACTTTGATAACAATACCAGTAATTCAGATAGACCATCACTTAACTGACACAGCGACACTAGATTCAAACTTGAATATCAAAGGCAACATGCAATAAAGATTAGACTTCTTTCATTATACACAAAATAAAAAGAATGATAATATTCCATTGCCCTGAATTCCCTGTACGAGAAACAACATTAACCAAGTGCCAATTGCGATGTAAGGGGGTAGACCTCTAAGTTTAAAACATAGAGAGGTAGTTTCCAAATGAACCATGAGCCTTGAATGTTGCTTTGACTATGAGCTATTTCACTATTAAAAGAAGGGTAGAGAGCCATTTCGCTTCTATCATACTCCAAAGCCAAAAAATAGTGAATCTTTGGCTCAAAAGCTTTGAAACAAAAGAAATCAAGATGCACAATTCAAATTTTACACCATAGTCGAATTCTGAAATAAAGATGATTCTAACTACTCTCTAATAAATTAAGCACTACATAAAGCTTCTTGTGACAAAATTTATATAGAACAATTTGTGACAATTTTACACTCCCACAATACATTGAATGTTTGACACAAGAACACAAATTTTCTAAGAGAAAGTCATGTCTATCATTGAAAGTCGTGTGGGATTACTGGCTTGTTATTGTTGGTGTTGTTGTAATTCCTAAGAACAGCTTAATACCATGGTTATCAGGGCAACAAGTCGAATGGAGTCGATAAAAAGAGAAGACTAGTGGACTAGTCAACAAATCACGATTAGTATTGAAAATTTTAACATTATATATATCTTCATTCACCAAAGATAACTATAAATATATATATTTATATGATGAAATATCATTAGTAAAACAAAATTATGTTTAAAGGTAGCAAATAAAGTCACATGATGAAGGGTACATAAGAATCAATAGTAGTGACCACTACGCCAAAAACAGTATCAGACGACTGCTGATTAACTACTGTTTATAGAAACACAGTAGTTAAAAAAAACAGACTACTGTGAGTTTTTCTTGGCTATAGAACAGTAGTCTAGCTATAATGCTTTAAAACTGTTTTTAAAGTTTCGAGAAACGGTAATCTATCACTAGTTGTTTGTGTCACTTCAAAATACGGTTTTTGTTGCAACAGTTGTTAATAATAAGTTAAGAATACTCTATATAAACAGTAGTATGATGTTTTAGTCTAGAACTGTTTTTAAACTTATTAGAAACAGTTATCTATTGCTAGTTGTCTGTTTCATATGTTTTTTTGCCACCGTTGTTTCTAATGGGAATAAAAGACTCTTTTATAACAGTAGTCTATGAATTAAGGGTAACACTGTTTTTAAAGTTGTGAGAAACGGTAATCTTTTATTAGAAGTCCATTTCACCTAAAAATACAGTTTTCGTTGCCACAATTGTCAATAATTAGTTAAGACTACTATTTGTAAACAGTAGTCTGGTTTTTCAATTTATAACTGTTTTTAAACTTATAAGAAATAGTATTATATTGTTAGTTGTATGTTTCATATGGTTTTGTTTTTCATAGTTGTTTATTATAAGAATCAAAAACTCCCTTGTAAAAGTAATATATTTATATAGCGTAAAACTATTTTTAAAATTCATAGAAACCGTAATCTATTACAAGTTGTTAATAATAAATTAAGAATACTTTTTTTAAACAGTAGTTAGACTATTAATCCTAAAACTATTTTCAAAGTTTTGAGAAACCGTAATGTATTACTAGCAGTGTGTGTCACACCGTTTTTGTTCACGGTTATCTATAATAAATAAAGCAAACTATTTTTAAGAGAATTGTGCGTATTAAACCTAAAACTATTTTAAAAGTTAAGAATATTCATTTTGAATAGTAGTATAGCTCTTAAGCCTAAAACTATTTTAATGGTTCAGAGTAATGGTAATCTTTTTTACAATGAAAATGGATACGCTATCTAACTTTACTTTCATACTTTCGAACAATATTATATGTACAACAATCAAATAAATATTGTTTCAAACAATTATATGGACATGAAAAACTAATACTTCCATTGAAACGAAAAAAAAGTGCATGAACAAGCTGGGTACTGTCCTGCTACACACAAAGGGAATTGAGAACTCATATAAACAATCAATCTCACATCATAAAACCAAAAAACAATAAGATGGCGAGATGCAAATAAGAGTACACAAAATTTATCAAAAACAAAATAAAGAGTACATTGGTTTGCTTCAATCCAAAGTAGAAAACAAAAAAAACACAAAGAATGAAAATCCATATTCTAAAATTACTCAAATCAAATAATAAAGACCAAATCTTCAAGATAGGAGTGCCAATTACACGAAGATTGTTGTGTTGCCCTCCAGCAGGGAGAGTGTCGTGGCGGGCAGCAGAGCAGCGGATTTCGTCTTCCTCTCCACCCTGGCATCTACTTTAATCTCTGTAACATTTTTTGAAGAAATATAATTAATTACTGTAATTACGAGCAATTTAATAGAAAAGGAGGCAGTGAAACTAAAATACCAGCAGGGGGGTTAAGAGCGTGGTTACTATAGAACCAAAAAGATTCAGGGTGAATTTTGACCCATCACAGAGAGGAGATTTCAGCATACGGTTCTGAAGGCTCATTCTCAGCTTTGAGAGGGCAGTTAGATCAGTTGCCAAGTGAATTGCCAACTCAACATATTCGTCCTCGTTCTTGGCAACCAAGTTTTTACACCCTAAAGTAAAAATAATCAATCAAAGCAAGAACATATTCGAATTGTAGTCTAACTTTGAATGGCTGAAAAATGTCAAAGCAAGCCATAGCACATTGCAAAACAGAAAAGAAAGCACTTACCAACTCAACATATATACATTTGTTAGATAGCACAAGCATACCATGACATCCAAGAATTCCATCATGCAAAGGTTAATCCACAGCCCTTGGTATCCAATAAATCAGCCCAGGTAGAAGGTTTCATGGTCAGCACCAGTAGA